ATGGAATGAACTTCCTGAGGAAGTGGTGGAATTGGGCACAGCTACTATATTTAAAAGACACTTAGATAAGTATATGAATAGAAAAGATTTGGAGTGATAATGGGCCAAGATCAGACAGGTGGGACTAGTTTAGTTTAGAATTACTATCGGGATGGACTGATTGGACTGAAGGTTCTGTTTCCATGCTGTATGACTCAATGACTACAAATTGAAAAAATATAACTACAATATAAGGCACCTGTGGGAATATGTATGTTAGTTTATAATTCTCTTCATCCAAGACTTTCAAATCCAGAAAATGCCAAATACTCCATTGTGAGGGTGCTGGGAAGAGCCCATAGAGTGATCGAAAAGATACAGCACGGAGAGGCTTATTGTGTCTGCACTGGCTGGGTAAACTAGTCACCCATTGTAAGGCCACCTTCCAGTAACTGGTTCTTAGCCTTACAGGTTCCAATGCTTCAGATGCAGTATCAGAGTCACTTCAAACCAATTGAGGGATCGGCTTCACCCACCAAACCAAGCAGCAAATTCAAAACACCAACACCCTCTGGGCAAAAAGATGTTTCCCTTTAATCTTTCTAATATTCATATCAAATCTGTACCCCCTATAACTGACCTCTCTGCTAGTGAAAACAGGTCTTCTGTGTCCACTCTATCCAAGGCCTTCATTATTGTGTACACTTCAAATAAGTCACCTCTCAGCCTCTTCTATGATAAGGAAACAAAAATTAGCCTGTCCAATCTTTCCTCATAGCTGCAATTTTCAATCCATGACAATATTCTTGTAAATCCCCATTCTGTTGAAACTAATCCAAATTTGGTACAAAACCTGCCACCACACTAAAATCATGAAAACAACTTACAGCTGTGTGCAGTTAGTTGTGTATTTATGCATGTTTAATAGGACAAGTAAGTAAAATTTATAAAAGGTTAGTAGAGTAACGATTGATTTAAGGGTTCCAAAAAGGATGACAATGTCTCTTCTGCATACTGGTGCTCTGTGCAACTATGTATATGTATATACATGGTGGGGGGAGATGGCAGATTACACCTTTGCTGTTGTAGGTAACCTTCTAAGTGTAATTCCCAAAAAAAACACACCTCCCAAACTCCCACACAATGTAATTCCGAATGTAAAACCAATTATATTCTGACAAGCCCAGTGGTCCTTGAATGTACATTGCTGAGAAATGGGCAGCATGATGGCTCAGTCATTAGCACTGCTGCCTCACAGTGCCAGGGACCAATTCTAGCGTTAGTTGACTGCCTGTGTGGAGTTTGCTTGTTCTCCCCATGTCTGCATGGGTTTCTGCCAGGTGCTCTGGTTTCCTCCCACAGTCCAAAGATGTGCAGGTTAAGATTAGCCATGCTAAATGCAGGGTTAGGCGGCTGGGTCTGGGGGGGGGATACTCTTCAGAGGGTCAGGGTAGACTCAATGAAGCAAGTGGCCTCTTTCTGCACTGTAGGGATTCTATGATTCTATAATATATGATCTTTCTTTGTGTGTGTGAAAATGACAGCACTTTCGGAGCCAAACTGACGCTGTGCAGATAGGCTATTTGCATTCTTCTCTGTATAGCTATAAAAGTTATAATATTTCAGACAAACTAAAATTGAATGAATTAAAATTGAAATGAAGAAACTGAATTCTGTTGCAGCCACAAGGTGACTGTAATGAAAAATAGTAACTCAATATTAAAACATTAAAGAAACAAAGCTTCTGCAAGATTTTAAATATCTTGAATTAACTTCCTCTGAGGATAGCCAAAATGTAAATGATAAACCACAAGATCAGGATTTATTGATTCATTAAATCTGGGTGTTGCTGACCAGGCCAACATTTGACTTTCATTCCCAATCGCCCTTGATATGAGCTGTTAAGAGTGAACTAAATTGCTGTCGGTCTGGAGTATGGAGGTCAGATCAGGTAAGAATGGCATACTTCCTAAAGCACACCAGTAAACCGAATGGGTTTTTATAACAATTGATGTTTGTTTCTTACTGAGACCAGCTTTCAATTCCAAAATGTTCACTGAATGGAAATGTTGCTAGTTGCCATGGTGAGATTTGAACTGTAGTGCCCAGAGCATTAGCCTGGGCCTCTGAGTTACTAGCTAAGTGACATTATTACCACATCACTATCTCCCCAAATATAACTAATTCCAGTCAAGTCACCAAAGAAAATTTAATTGGTTGCTCATTTGAATCTCACTAAGTTATTATAACTTCTGGATATTATTGCACTTACATTCTATGAGAAATATCCATGGATTTAACACTGGACGACCACATCACAATTTCTTCCTGTTCCCTATAAATTTGTCAGAATGTCAGTACTGCCCATTGACAGCATTGTCTTTAATTGTGATTTCCAGTACTTAGAGGTTTTTTATTTGCCTTTTTACCTGTTGGATATTAGTTTAACCTGCATCTGCCCTATTTCAGAGTCAAGACATCTATTAAACTGGCTGAACTGGAATCAGTGAAATAAACTGGAAAATTTATAAATGGATTCAAATCCTAAATGGAAACATCAAACTCTATCTGAATTGAAAGGAAATCGGAGATGGTCTTGTGGGTTGACTGACACTACCCTAAATTGAAGTGGTATTTCCAGTTTCTTTGACATCACCTATTTTCATTAATGTCAAGAACCAAATGACCTGATTTTACCACAGAGGTGCTGCAATATGGAAGAAAGCATGATGTTCCCTCCAAATGCCCATCACTCTGGCTTCAAAATATATCATTGCATTTTCAAAGTTGCTGGGGCAAAATCCTGGAGCTCCCTACCTAAACAGAAATATGGGAATACCTTCACCACACGGATTGCAACAAGACCGCTCACCACTACCTTCCCAAGGGCAATTCAGTGTGGGCAGTAAGTCCTGCCCTTAAGAATGATAATTACGTCCAGTGATTGAATTTGAAACAGAAATGTGCAAACTACAACTTCTGCTGAGGGTGGCAAAGCACAAAATATTAGGAAGGTACTTTATGAAAATCTCGATGGTGAACTATATTGTTGGTCTGTTCCAGGTGTGCCTGAAAATCTGCACCTCTATTGCTACACAGAGTCCTGCTGAACAGAATCAGTTTGTGCCAAAAATTCCATATGGCAGCATCTGAAATAATCTTTCTCTGCTCTCTCACTCTGCAAAATTCTATCTTATGTTATATAAAGGGGGAAAGTGTAAAATCTTTCATCACGTAGGGCAGAAAATAAAGTCTCACTCAGACAATATTTTTCTATTTTAAAAACTCACTGCAATATTAGCTAAACACTTACCCTAGGAGGGAGTAATATTTTGTTTTGCTTACTGTCCTATAAAAATATCTCACAAATTACTGAAACAATTTACATTGAAGAGAAAGCATTCTGTCGTTAAAAGGTAAGAATTTCCCCAATTGCCCCATAAATGTAATCCTCCGACTTAAGAAATTCAATGCACTATACTTTGCTCCATCAGCAGAGCATCCTTACAGCAATATGCAATTGTCATTTTGAATGCTCTATGGTTGCACTATTAAAGCTTCAGAAAAAATTGAAGTAATTTTAAAATAGCTCTCTTTGCTGCTCACGCGCCAAAGCTCTGGAAGAAAATTACAGCAGAGCCACGGACCACAAAAGAGATAGAAAGGTGGAAAGCAAGCTCAAAATATCTGCATTCCTAGTATGAACAGTACTATGAAGATATAAACATTACAAGCTGGATTCTACCAGACCACCACATATCCCTGGCTCAAGTAAACTACGCAACCACTATAATTTAACTTGATTTTTGACGATTTTAAAGTGTGAGGAATTATGGTGTCACAATTCCAAAACTGTCAGCAAGACAGCTGGGGTGAGATAAGGAGAAACTTCTTTACTCAAGAGAGTTCTTAGAATTCAGAACGCACTGCTTGGGAGAGTGGCTGATTCCATAGGAGGTTTCAAAAAAGAGCTGGATGTATATTTGAAAGTGATGAATTTAAAGGGCTACAGAGATAGGGTTGGAGAATGCATCTAGCTGGGTAACTCTTTCTGGAGTGAACGCATACACGATCGGTTGAATGGCTTGTAAAATTTATGGTTTTAACTTGATAAAAATCACACAAATACTTTTCAGACTAGAGTTAAAGTTAACAGCACCATCATCAATAGGTCAGCAAATTTACCTGTTAACGGCTGAGTCTCAAGAAAACAGACAGTATCCAGTCTCTGTTCAATTAGTCCATTAGGATGGTCATCAAAATGTTTTAACTCGCTTCAGTCTTGCTGGGTCAGGAAAGGAAAAATAAGCTATGGCTGTTGTCCTTATTGCAATCTTGTGAATCGCCACTTGAAGCAAGTTGTGTGGATATTTGGTGAGGATACTGAATGAACAGTCTCTATTCTACCTGCTTCCTGCCAATTTTTTTTAACACATGCCTAGAAAGAATGGCCACATATAAGGGGGACAATTGTGATCTCAAACTTCATCCCAGGAAAACGTCAATACTTTTAGAAATAAAGGAGGAATTTTTACCCCATCAGACTGGACTCGACTTAGTACGAGGTCTAAAATCTGCAATGATATGACCAACTACCAAAACTCTTTTAAGTACATTTTCATAGTTCTCTTTTCAAGCATTTTAACATAGCTGTTCTCTATAGCAACCTATAAAAGATCAATTCAAAAAAATTCCTGTAGACCTGAGGAGGAAATACGAGAATTATTGAAAGAACCATCAGAGTGTCATTAAAATCAGTCGAAAGGTGCCATGGAGCTTGTTCAGTTTGGAAATCACTAACCATGAATATTTTTTTTGAAGAACTGTTTGAGTTAGCACAAGGAAAATACTTTAATCTATCAACAATGAATATTGAGTTTCTTTGTCAAAGACATCCTAATATGTCTTAAAAGCGAGATATGCAATGTCATCAACTTTGTTTTGAAGTTTTACATTGTACAATTTGTTTTGTTTGACATGAAAATCTAGTTGCAACAAGCAGCATAATAATGAAGGGTGATCTTGATTTTGGGGAGGATAGTGTAAAAAAGGGAATAGCGACTCAGCAGCCAGTTTAACATTTCATATGACTTCCCGTTCCATTGGCTTCGCTGGAAAAGAAAATTGATCAATCTAACCTTCACAGGATTTATAAACAAATCAAAGTGTTTCCAATTAATTTCATAGGCATCCAGTAAAATGACTTATAATTTATGCAATCTAATCAAAATTAAATTGTTCACAATAACTTCATGTAACAAACATTCAAATTAATTTAACATTCAAGCCGACAAGAAACAAATGCTATGGACTGCATTTAATCCTCTCAACTAATCAGTAGTATTGCTGTGCTGAAGCTGCTTTCACTCAGGAACTAACAAATGACCAACTAACAAACAATTCAAACAACGAACTAACAAATCATTTTCACAATGACTTAATTTAAAAAATGGGTGAATATAGTCATAAAGTCATACAGCATGAAAACAGACCCTTCAGTCCAACTAGTCCATACCACTCAGGTTTTCCCAAAGTAAACTAGTCCTACTTGCCTGCATTTGGCCCATATCCCTCTAAACCTTTCCTACTCATGTACCTATCCAAATATCTTTTAAATATTGTAACTGTACCTGCATCTACCACTTCCTCTGACAGTTCATTCCACCTATGAACTACCCTTCCTGTGAAAAAGTTGCCCCTCAGGTCCCTTTAAAATTTTTCTCCTCTCACCTTAAAAATATGCCCCCTAGTTTCAAACCCCCTCCCACCTTAGGGAAAAGACCTTTGCCTTTCATGATTTTATAAACCTCTAAAGGTCACCCCGCAACCTCCTACTTATGCTCTGGTGAAAGATGTCCTAGTCAATCCAGCCTATCCTTATAACTCAAACCCTCCAGTCCTAGCAACATCCTGGTAAATCTTTTCCGAACCCTCTCTAATTTAATGATATCCTTCCTATTGCAGGGTGACCAGAAGTACTCCAAATGTGGCCTCACCAACATCCTGTACAACCTTAACATGATACCATACTCCTATATTCAAAGGTCTGAGCAACGAAGGCAAGCATGCTAAACACCTTCTTAACTACCCTGTCAAACTGTGAGGCAACTTTCAAAGAACTACGTTCGACAACACTACCCAGGGCCCGACCATTAACTGTATAAATCCTGCCTTTCTTCGTTTTCTTGAATGACTCATTCAACAAATATTGAAGAATTTTTTAAACATAAATGTTCCCACTCTGACTTTGGAAATAAAATCAATACGACTTGTGTCCTGTAATGGCATAGGAATTAAGTTTGGCCACAAGACCATATGTGGCAAAAAAGTTAAAATTGCACTTCTTTTTGAGTTCAAACAATTTATATTAATCTAATGCACACATGAAGAAAGTACACCTGTACCTGTCATTAATGCTCCAGTTCAGACAAAGATTCAGAGAGCTTAAGTTTCTGCACCTCTTGACCACTTCCATTACGGTTTCATTATTCAACTCGGTTATGTGGCGCAGGTCCAAACTAGTGAGTTCCTTCAGCTTAGGAGGGAAAAGGAAAATATTGAAAATGCATTACTGAAGAAATATCTTGCAAATCACAATAAATGAACTGTAACAGGGTATGTAGAATTATTTTCATGACAAGTTTTTTGAGTAAATGAGGCAAACAATTCAATGCAATTGAAGAGAAAATTAGTGAAGTATTGGAGGAAGAAATAAATAAAAGAATATGTTGATAAGATTGAGTAAAATAGAAGGAGTTTCAAATGTAATAGCAAAACCTCACAGACCAAGTGACATGAATAGCTTGTCTCTTGTCGTAATGACCATGTTATATTTAATCCTAAATTCCCATTTACTGACATCACAAATGGCTATTTAATAAACAGTCAACAGCTTGTTATGCATCTTTTCACCATTTCCTTCTCACACCTTCTGGCTTCCCTATCCCTATCCCAACCATTCAGTGCTCAGCAACCTCTTCTCCCAACAGTTCAGGCTATACCCCTTCTGAAGTAGGATGACACAGCATCACACTATGCATCTCTTGTCATTCTCCAAATGCCCTATTGAGACACTAATCACTGCCTCCTTACAAACAGCAATCACAACTAACTCACCCTATTCTCTTGCCAGCTTGCTCAAACTCCACCTCATCTAGCTCGCCAGCCCAGTATTAGTCCCATGGTCTCCGTCAGTAGATCAGTTATTGCTATGCCTTCTCAGATCACCATCCAGAATTTCCAGATGATTCATAAACAACTTTCTTGAATCCATTAGCCTATTCTGAATGATCAGCATCAACATCATGGCTTTGATGGCAAACTGGCAAGGGGATGATATAGTCTTTGGCCCAGGTTTGCCTCCAGGAGGGTGTTTTACCTGATGTGGCAATACTTATGCTATCTCTCGCAACATACAAAACTCATAGTGAAAATCATTGGTATTGAAGAATCCAACAGACATTTATTACATCGAACTATTATGTGCAAACATTATATTCTTCAGGCACATTAGTGTTTGGACTAATGTTTAACTATGAAGTTAAACAGAACAGCATGATTCTTGCAGTGTGTAATATCCAACATGATCTTGAGGGTAATATGGAACATAAGACCTTTATAACCTCAGGTCACATCCAATGATATGCTGATGATATCATGAGCATGCTTCTTAAACCTTTTCTTGAACCTTTACCCTAAATAAAGTTTCCCCATCTAACTGTATCTTTTACTGCTTGCCTCACCCAGACTATCATAGTGGTAACATGGTTTTTACAAGAAAAATATCAGAAAAATATCCTCTTATTGCTCTGGCACTTGTTCACACTTTGATCATGACAATCTACAGTTGTCCAAGTGATTATCTGTTTTTACCCCAGATCATTTCCAGGAATGAAATGGGTCAAGTGGATCAAATGTCTTTCAGCCAGCCTTTAAAGAACAAAACATAAGACCATTTATATTAGCCATGGAAAAGGGCAAGATGCAATTGAAGGAAAAGTACTAAATTGGGGATTGCTATTTTCAGTTGGATGACATTGATTCCAATTTTGGTGGGCCAAGGTCTTGGACTAGCAGGAGGTAAACTGTAAGAATAAGCCTTTAAAGCAACTGGAGACAGTTGACGTGCATTCCTGTGGAGGGGAAAGGATGAACAAATAGAATAAGAGCTTCCTGGGTTATGAGAAAATAGCTAGGAAGCAGTAAAAGGCACTATATACAGATATCAGATTGATAATCTAAGTAGGAAGCAGACTGAATATTGAAAATTCAGAGAGGTTGGGGTTATCTAGAAATTTCAAAATTATGTAAGGTTTTGATGCAGTAAAAGGCTGAAAGCTGACTTCCATCAAGGGGTGCAGTTACAAGAATAAAGATGTCAGTTTGAAAAACTTTTCTCATTGGGTGATTATTGTAAGATCTATCATGTCAGAGATTAAAACACTTTCGTATGTTGTTGAACTTAAAACGAAACAGACCAAATTTACGATAGCCTATTCTCTCATTGGTGCATCAACATACTAATCTAAAACTCCATTTGCACACACTCCAACATCTGTCACAGCATTATTGCCAATGAAATTTTGCCCAGTCCATATATAGTTTAAAAATCACCCATGATTACTGCAGCACACTTGTTACATGCAACTCTAATTTTCTATGTAACACCATTCCCTCTATTACAATGATTATTTGGACATTGCAGGACAGTTCCAGTGAATCCTTTCCACCCCTTGTTGCTTCTCAGCTCTTAACCCAGATACATTCGACATCTAGAATTCCAGCACCAATATAGTTTCTCACAAATGCACTGATTTCATCTTTCATTAACAATGCATGTAGATGTCATTTCAAGGGTAGTTGTGCATATATATTGAGTTTAAAATTTTTGTTAATAATATTTACATTTTTGTTTCAATACGTTTTGTTCATAATAAGTTTTTTTTAACTCAAGAAATATGACTGATTTGCTGCCAATACTGTGGTCTATACAGACTGATTATCAGATCACATTTTAAAATTAAACCTCGTTGCGGCGCATGGAGGACAGGGACCAGGAAAGGAATCAGTCCTAAGTTGGTCCTAACTAAAATTAAATACTACTGCCATCAAAGACTAAAATTAAAAGAAGGAAGGTGGCAGTTTGAAGAAAAGTTCTCATTTACATTGTTACTGCACCATCTCGGAAATAAATCACGCCCTTCCCCTTTTCATTTACCAACAATGGGATCTGTTGTAAATGAGGACGGGGTTTCTGCAACTAGTTTTAAACTGTTTAAAAGGAAATACATAGTTTCATGACCAGGTGAAAATCAGTGCCATCTGCATGATGCACTGAGGCGTTTCCTTCTGTGCTATAATTTCTTTGGTTCCACAAAATAGGTACACAAATTTTGGTTAAAATGCAAGAATCATTGTATTTAACAACTCTTTGTACTATGAGAACAGGTTTTGTTATAGAAAGTAAAAAGTGAAACTCATTATACTTCAAAGTATGATCAGATGTGGAAACAATTATAAGTGGCCCATGAAGTTGAAGAGAAATGGTCCAAACTTTCTCTGCTGTATCTTTGATGAAAGAGTTGACATATAGGCAATAGACCAAAATATGCTAGGCTGCAAGTTACCAGTTCATCATCTTTTAGTACACATTTCAATTGAAATGTATATGAGTTTTCACACCAGATAAAAGGCATCTGAAGTAGGCTTCAAGTTCTTTCAAACAAACAGCATGTGTTTGTTATAAAACTCTTCTCAAGGGACTAAAGTGGTCAGTGAGAACATTTTCTTTGGGAAGAGGGGGCAGTTGTGCACGAGTGCCAGAGACATCCTGTGATTGGAGTCCATAGTCCCAAAGAAATGAGCTGCGATTCCAGTGACCACACAAATCTCATTAGGATCAGCAATTTTGGGAGCCAGCAAGATCAATCCCAATTTAATGCTGAGATCAAACTCCATGGCAATTCATCGTCAAATTATTTTACTAAATTTACATTGTGAGATATTTTTAATTCTGACAAATTCTGACCACTAAAATTTACACAATGCAACAAAGCTCATTTTGATTTAAATACTTCCTCATTCACTATGCGTACCATTAAAACAGTACCTGAAATTGGAATTGTAATCTACTTGCAAAGTAAATTATTAAATGATATTGAGTAATTGGGAAACACAAAGAGATAATCAAAGTGTCAGGTGGAATGGAAGGAAGCAAAGGATTCATATTTATGGGCAGAGAAAACTGATGTTTGGAGGTTCAGAGAGTGTGAAGCAGATTGTATTAGTAACGACAAGGATACCCCATTGCATTGTGCACACTACTTCAGCTATAATTTCCAGGCTTTACATTATAGTGCTGTATTATAGATGCCAATATAATCAGAAATAAAAGGTAAACCTCCGAATGTTAGAAATGTGAAACAAAACATCAGAAAATTGTGCAAATGAGCATCAGGTGAGTCAGTTGTCTAAATGCAAAAGATAAAGCAGGTTACTTTTGAATTAATAATCCCCCTCATCTCCTTCGAATATTGACTGGCCTGCAATTCACTGCATTTTATCAAAATTATAAATGTGTAATGACTGCACCCAAATTAGATTCTTGATTCGGCAACTCTTGACCTTCTTTGTAAGTCACATACATCCTATTTTCATTTGTACTTATATTGTTGATAACCTTTTGCTTTAGTGTATTTTCAAGTTTATAGACAAATAAAGTGCTGAAATGAGCCTAGTTGAGCATGAGTCATTAGTATTTATTAAAGCCCAATCAATGACAGAAAATCATGTATGGAACTGATTAATCACGTCCTGATCCAAGAATAAATATGTTTGTTCTGTTAAGTCACCATTTTAAAAGACTTATATGAACATTTCATATTGATCCCTTGATGCAGAAAACAGCAATTTACTTAGCATTTAAGGAAATTGCACTGCACAGCATGTTCCAAGAGGAACCCAACTGACTAGAACTGTTCCTTTTCTGAGCCATATACAAATATGCACAGTTAGACAGACCAAAATTATATTTCTTTTCTCAAAACTAATAAAAGCTCTCGTGCTTACACTGCAAAGGTTTGAAAAAAATTGAGTTTAAATTGATATTTTGTACTTGACAACATATAATTTATCCTGTTATACCAAAGAAAATTGCCTACAGGAAATTGGTTTGTGAAATAATTGTGATGCTTAGCAACTTTAGCGTCTTACACGCTGAGCATGTTAAAAGAGAACAGCACTCTTTCAGCTTTGCTGTAATAAATTTTCAAATGCACAGGTAGCCACCTATTGCAGTTGGAAGCTTTATTCTGGAACTCAAATCCGAGAATGTAAAAATTGTTGCTGCACAGAAGGGTTCCATTTGGCCTGCCATGTCTACACCAGTTCTCTAAATGCCATTCCCCTGTCTTTTCCTTGTAACATTCATATTCTTCCTTTTCAGCCTAATTTACTCTTGAATATTTCAACTAAATATATCTCCACCACACACTCGTAGCGTATTCAATATCTCTGCGAAAAAGTTTGCCCTCAGAT